CTATTATATTATGGGACGGAGGAAGTACTTGTTTGTAAATTAACGATCCTGACCACCCATTCTTTCTCCACTACAAGCATGGTAGTTCATGTTCTAGAAAATGTGTGTAATTTTGATATAGAAATGTGCAACCACGTCAACTCTTAAAATTCCACTCAATCAGTTGTTTGCAATCTGGTTTCATTCCTTCGAGATATAACAAGTACGGTTTTACAATCATATTTTGTACCGTAGAAAAATTAAGAAAATAATCTTACAAATTAATGATATGCAGTGTCGCCGGAAGCTAGATGCTGTCTTCCGGGAGGAGCTGCAGGCAAGGAAGACGTACAAGGACTGTGATGATCTTATGAGCGGGTTGATGCAGATGAAGGATGAGCAGGGGAAGAAATTGAGTGACGAAGAGGTGGTACATAACATCGTCTCCCTCGTCATCGCCGGCTACGAGTCCACCACCATCGCCATCATGTGGGCTGTCTACCACCTCGCAAAATCCCCGGTTGTCCTTGCCAAGCTTCGGGAGGAGAATGTAGCGATGAGCAAAAGCAAAGGTGGGTCTACGTTGACAGGTTTGATGATTACCCACGATGACATCCCAAAGATGAAGTACACCGCGAAGGTGGTGGAGGAGACAATTCGGATGGCCAACATCGCCCCAATGGTCCACCGTGTGGCGAACAAGGATGTAGAGTACCGCGGCTACACCATACCGAAGGGATGGGCCGTGCTAGTGTGGTTGAGATCAGTGCACACCGATCCCAATTACTACCAGGATCCTCTCTCCTTCAATCCTGATAGATGGGATGTAAGTATGCTATCTAGTTCTTGTCACGTGCAATTCATGTTTATCATCATGCATTGGTCAACTCAGGAAAATACCCACTCCCCCTCTAGAATATCGGCTTGCTTCAGATTTTTTTTCCTATTTGAGCTCACTTAACCACCTTAAGCTACTATATTTCAAAGCAATTTATCCTCTGGCCAGTTTTCCGAAAAATAAAATCAAGGCTAGAAAATCCTAAATAAAATAAAACCATATATACCAGCAAGTTATAGTATGGACTATGTGCATGTGAATTGTGGTTACAAAATATGACCATGTACTATTTGAGTACAAATGAAGCAAATAACTAGATTACCATTTTTACACAGTTCCCATAAATGGCCCTATTTCCAAACAAAATGTTTGTGTGCATAAAATTCAAACACAATATCCCACATAGATGATATTATTTGCTTTTTAGAGTGAAAAATAGAAGTGATTTTTTGAATTATAGAAGCTATGTTCTCTGTGTGATAATCTAAGAGGGCATATGAATGCAGGAACCGGCAAAGCCAGGAACATACCAGGTGTTCGGGGGTGGCCCTCGGATCTGCGCAGGCAACATGCTCGCTAGGCTGCAGGTCACCATCATCCTGCATCATCTCTGCGTTGGCTACCAGTGAGTAGAACACTAGCTCTGCTCAGCTTAAGTAATTAACTAAGTTAGGATATAAAGAAGATATTGATTTATATTTAATGTATCAGATGGGAGTTGATCAATCCCGATGCACAGATCAATTACCTACCGCACCCAAGGCCAGTGGATGGTGCAGCCATGACCTTTCGTAAGCTTAGCACCTGATCACACGATCAATTAAATTGTCGTGAAATAAACCAGTCTATTGTACTGGCATGTGTGTATGTTTGTATTGAGAATAATGTATGATCATATCAGATCTGCAGTTAGCCTGTCTTTTCTTTGAACATGAGGTTGTTGTTCATTATATATGTTTCTTTTCTAAAGGAAATTTGTGCTTATATCTAAATTTTCCAACGGAATGGAGGTTTCCTCAACCATTCTGATTGCAACATATCAAACAATAGCAGTGTTAAAGTACAATAGCAGGATATATGAGAGATCTAACGTAAGCACACTATGGAAACAAGTGTACACTACCAGCACCACCGTAGCAATGCATGTACGCATCGTCTCTGGTTGCTCGCATTGGTTGTGCTCATACTAGTGCACGTTGTTTGGTTGCATGCACTAGACATGATTAGATAACAACTACACATAACACACTGTGTTTACACTAGAGTGCTTCGGCGACAGAGCACGGAGTCGCAGGCGAGCAATCTCATCGGTGGTGCGGTGAACTATATGCTAGCGTCATCGCCGCAGAGGAAGTCTGTGTGGAGTAACAAATATGAGGGTGCTGAGGCAGAGAATGATGGAGTAAAAATGCAGTGTGCCGCCATGGTGGCCTCAGTGTAGTAGGACATAGAGGAGGAGGCCGAAGAGAGCGACGATGACGACGACGCCAGTGTAGAAGGACGCGAAGGACGAGGTCGAAAAGAACGAGGATGACGACGGCGCCAGTGTAGTAGGATGCGGAGCAGGAGGTCGAGAAGAATGACGATGACAACGACGCCATTATAGTAGGACTTGGGATAGAAGGTTGTGAGGAACGACGTCAATGGTGGCTTCAGTGTAGCATGGCATGAGAGCGAAGATGGAGAGGAACGACGACCACGCAAGTGTAGTAGGACACGGGAGAGGAGGTTGAGAGGAACGATGCCGGTGGTGGCGCTAATGCAACAACACGCGGGAGAGAACGACGATGGTGACAGCGCATGTGTAGTAAGACGCGAGCGAGAAGGCCGAGAGAAACGATGCCGACGATGGATTAAATGTGGTAGGACATGGCAGAGAATGCAAAGAGGGACAACGAGCGCGCGAGTGCAGTAGGACATGGGAGAGGAGGTTGAGAGGAACGACATCGACGGTGGTGCCAGTTTAAAAACACACGGGAGGGGATGTAGAGAGGAGCGACGCCATCGGCGATGCTGGTGTACCAGGACACAAGAGAGTCGAGAAGACCGAGATTAAGGAGTGTCATTAACATATATCACACATATGCGTATATACTATTCACGAGGAAGAAGTCAGATTTAATCATCTACAATCGTCGAAATAGAAAATGTGCATCATGAAATACGCGTGAAACTGTAAGATGAAACTACTGATCAAAGAAAATTTCAAACGATCGACTGTGTGCGACGAATGTGACAAAATTCATCTAAATAACTCTAAACATCAACACGAAATTGAACATTTACTGTCTACGAAACTAGGAGCGGATGCGCATGAACACAAAATTTTCAAATGGTCGCAAAAATGGAATCATAACATCGAGGCGCATCTTTTTTCAATTAGAGTTTATCTCAAATCGATGCACTGTTGTATAGAATTAGAACGGACATAAGAAATAAGATTAGAGAAGGAGCTTAGTGGAGATGGAGGTGGAAGAAGAAACGATGTACATGCTGTATACTCCTTGTATCCTCTCGTGCCCTCGGGCCCATCATGTGCGCGGGAAGATGGCTCGACTCAGTCTGACCCACCGGCTAACTTGAGCGTCTTTCTAGATGCAGGTTCAAAGATGCTTTATATTCCATGCAGGTCGTTTTTCAATGCGACCCAGGTAATCAAACAGTCAGAACATATTTCGGGCGGACCTGGCTCCGCATGTCTACCAAAATCATCCTTATACGTTGTAAGCAACTCGACGTGGTATTACTCCATGACCTCGGCCAGGCATGAGCAATTAGTTCACAGAGTATAGCCGTGGGTGGTGTAAGCACGTGCGATTCTGAGGGCAAGGTGGCGTGGTGCCCGTGCGCGTACTGCAGTAGCCGTGCATAGGAGTGCTGGAAAGTGCCGGGTCATATAGCTATGCCGGCGTGCGGCGTTCATCTGGTCGGGCACGATGCCGCTCAGCGCGCTCCTGACTCCTGTTGGCCGCGCGGCACATGCCGGACACGGTCGTCAACAGCTACGACTGGTGCGAAATGACCTACGACTGGACAAGCAGGCTGCTCTTGCGCCGCAGGAGAGTCGGTGACCACGGCGCAGTAAAAACCACAGGAGGAGCTCGGGAAGGAGCATGGCGGGGAAAGACAGAGGAGGAGCACGACGTCAACGACCACGACAAGGGATGGGCTGAATCTGTCATAGGAGAGAGAGCGACAGAATGAGTGAGAAAAATGAATATGTCACAGGAGAGTAAGACAGTGAAAGCATTGTGGGACCCCGTCCAGGATCATGTTTTTTCAGGTGCCCTAAACGAGCACTTAGCAGAAATGAACCGGAATAGACTGTGATATTTGAGAGCACATGGTTGCAATTTCAGGGATTTCGAGGTCAGGGTATGATTCAGAATTGAGAGCACGAATTTAAGGCTTATTTCATACTTTTCACTCCCGCTGCAGGTGCAGGTGCGGTGAGTCCGGCCACAGATTGTGCTGTTACCGGGGCTGACAGCGTGGGCAGGTTTGGATGCGGTGAGCGTGTCTGTTTGCATGGGCGTGGAGCTTTCTGCTGCATGCATGCGTGAGCAAAAATGCTAGACCTACGTAACTTGATACGTAAAGCTACGTTCCTTCCTTCCTTCTCAACTAAACATCCGCCCCTGAGTTTCACGGGTGGGCCTGGGCCAATTTACCCTTCCAACCAAAACATGCCAGGTCAGATTTTACGTACGTTACGTAGAAATCCTTACGTAGGTGTAGCAAAGCTCATGCGTGAGTCACTAGACATCAACACACACACGTAAAGATTTTTACGTAACCTACGTAAAAGGTGACCTGGCCTGATTTGGTTGGAGAGAAAATAAGCCCAGGCCCACCCCTGAAAATCAGGGGAACGATTAGTTTAGCTTTAAGGAAAGAACGTAGCTTTACGTAGCTGGGTTTGGTAAGTCTAGCATTTTTGTCTCCTGCGTGTCCAAGGACCCAAACGTCGTGTTGGTGCAGTGCCTTCCTACAAGTAGCATTATCCTCTACTGCAATGTTCCGAGTGTATTGTCCAGCTACCGTATACATGTTCGATGCGTGCGGACGCCGGACGGTAGGTCTTCTTCTTTCTTCTTGAGCTGCATGATTGCTTCGTCCTTGTGTGTGCTTGTGCATGACTTGCTTCGAGCATACCGTGAAAAACAGCACTTCGACGTATGGTTTTTCAGGCAGCTCCACACGCACCCAGAGGAGATGCGGATCGATCATCTTGAGGATGCGGCAGGCTTCCGTACAGTGTTTGTTCTCGCCAGATGATCTCGACTGCCAGCGACTTCGTGACTCGACGGTACAAAATCGATCTCAGAACAATATTCATGTGTTATTACATATGTGCGTGAACATCAACTTGTGTGTCTGTGTGCGCCTAGTGTCACATCCTTATCTACTTGTAATGTATTAGAATTGGTTACGCATGCTGCACCATGCTTAAATATCTTTATTAATCTTCAATTGAGAGAATTTGCAAAGTCTTAAAATTTGTTTAAAAGGGTTCTGTCGGGGATATACCTCGCGGTATATGACCCGGCTAGACTTGGCGACTCATCAGAGACCCGGCTGGAGCTTGGCGACTCACTGGCGATCCGCCCGGACATGACGGTTTACATGTAATCCACCTGGACATTGTGACTCACTGGAGATCTGGCGGGCGGATCAGACGGACGACAAGGCCCAAGGCCCAGCAGGCCGGATTATACTCTGGTGGGCCAGTTTACGAGGAAAGACATAAGGAGTTTTTCCTCAGGGGGCAGTCTAGGATTCCACTTGTAATAGACTAGTCCTGACTCCACATGTAACCCGCCCCTTCAATATATATAAGGAGGGGCAGGGCTCCCCAAAAGTGACAATCAAGAAGAAACAATCTCTAGGGCTAGACACAAAGAGCCGGCTTACCGGTGACTCCCTCATGATCATAATGAGATCTAACCACAAACAACATGTAGGGTTATTATCGGATGATGTTTCCCGCGGCCCGAAGCTGTCTAAATCCTTGTCTTATGTTGCGTCTCTCGATTCCACCTAACCCCTCTCAAGCTACCACATAGATGCGTTGACCTCGCGACTAAGTCCTCACGCTAAGGACATCTGCCGTGAAAATTCCACGACAGTTGACGCCCACCATGGGTCTCGCGCACGGTGGTGTTGAGATCTTGGAGGTATCTTTCCCAGGGTTTCGAGAAGTTCGTGAAAATCTGGATCAAGAAAAAATCGTATTGGAAGGGTCTGCACTTGCAATTTATGAGATTGGCGCTTAAAGAAAAATTAGGGCTACAGTCGCCGAAAATCCGGTGATCCGTCAAAACCGAAGGCGTCAGTATTCGCTACGGTCGCCGACATGCAAGCCGTCAAAACCGAAGGTGTCAGTATTTGCTACGTTAGCAAACTCATCAATATCTGGTCGGATTTCTTTGCCAGATTGATCATTGTTTTTGTTATGGCCACGGAAACACCAGAAGTGACAGGGCCTCTAAATCGCCGCCAGAAAGCTGATTACTACTACTTGTTGAGTCACGTGTGGAGTCAAGATGATTTTTAACTTGTGGCCGGGGTCGGTTTGCCCCTCTGCTAAGTCACCCCTGTTGAAGATCGCGTTAAGCTACCCCCGAAGCAGCTCTGAGCCGGGCCAGCCTTGTCTCGGGGCCAGTCCGCTCCTCTGCCGAGGCTCGCCGCAACCCGCCTCCGCCTTGTCAAGACGCCCGGCCGAGCCGCCGTTACAACTTCACCGAAGTCCGCTCTGGGTTACCCCTGCTACAGTTGCCTTCAAGCCGCCGCCGCCCTGCAGGCCCG